CGCCCAGCTCCCAGGACACCCGCCCGCCCCAGCTCCCACCCTCGCTCCCCGCCGGTCAGCAAGGGGGGACGCCCGGGGGTCGGTCAGCCTCCGCCCCGCTTCTCTCTGACCCCGCCCATCCCAAGGGCTCTTCTTCAGGGAAGACCCCAAATCGGCCTCTGCTCAGCCTGTCCGCTGAGTCCGAGCACCCCGCGGCCCCCTCCCAGGCTGGCTGTGCACCCGCCTCAGGGCCTTGGCAATGACCTCCCCAGTGTGCACGAGGTTCGAGATCTGCCTGCCCACCTCACTCAGGTCCCCGTGCAGCCCTCCCTCCCTGGGCACCCAACGCCCTTGCTTCTCTCCTGGCACTGACCTGGCACACAACACCCACAGGTTTACCTACTGTCTCCGCCCCCTCCCCCAACTGGAATATGAATGCACTGAGTCGGGGCTTTTGTCTGTGCTGCTCACCCTGCACCTCAGCCTCCAGACCAGGGCGGGGGAAGAAGAGAGAGAGGGAGAGAGGGCGAGAGAGAGAGCCTGGGGCCCTGGCTGCCGCCAGGCTGGGTGCTTGGGCAACAATGCACAAGACAGCAAACATCTCTCCTCTCTTGGAACAAGTCAGCCTAGAAACGGGGGTTAGCTGGTGGGGGGACAGGTCCTAGCCCAGCAGCAAAGAATGGTGGCGCCCACCCCGACCCCAAAGGGTCCACGCCGGAGTCTCCGGTCCCTGTGAACATGTCAGGTTAAGGTCAGGAGATGGGGAGGGTGTGGGCCCATGTCGTCACCAGGTCCTTCTGTGACACTGTGGAGGGAAGTGGCCTGTGGGGTCCGGAAGGAACAAACTCGGCGACACCTTGGCCTGACCAGCAGAGCCCACCCCGGACCCTGACAGGCCTGTGGGCTCCGGCCTGTGCTGTGCTGAGCCACGGCGTCTGGTCATTGCTAAGAGGAGCGGTGAGCTCGGCAGGGGCACACGGACACCGCCCATCAGGACCATCGCTCTCCCTGGACAGCCCACAGCCCACGAGCTCAGCCGCCGGCCCCTCACCTTCCCCTCCGTGCTCTCGTGGAAGCTGTCCACGCGGGCTGCCAGTGTGCACTTGGCGGCCACCAGACGGGCAGCTTTCCGCCGGAGATCCTGGAAGAACGGAAACGGAGGCCAGTGAGGATCACTGAGGCCACGGGGCCCCGAACGCTAGCCCAGGCCCGTTCCTGCCTGGCCGCGGCCACCCTGTGCCGTGACAGCGTCACTGTGACAGCGTGTTGAGGCAGCAAAGCATCGTCGCCAACACCTTCTTGACACTACTCTTTAAAAACTTAATCTGGTTTGATAAACAACCTAACTACACTGCTCCGGACGGGAAATCTTCACAGACCAAGGAGTAAGTTGTTATGATTAAAACACGAAACGTGCAGATTAGCACTGAGAACGCGAGAAAAGGTGGCCTGTGCTTTGGGGACACCGCGATGGGCGTGGGAAACCTGTGGCCACAGGTCTCGTTAGTGACAGTCATACCAACACTGAAGTCAGCAGCAGCTGGTGCGGCGAAGACCTAGCCTGCCCCTACGGGTCTGGTCTGGCCAGGCAGGAACCCTGTGAGTTAGGGGGGTCCTTGGGTTACAGGGGATCGGTCAACCCCGAGACGGGGCTCCGCCACGCTGTAACCAAGCCCAGCAGACTGCGGGCGCGGAGCCCGGCTGGGGGTGCCGTGCGTGTCACACATCGGTGCTGGGAGAGGACTGAGCCTGACGGCGGGTACTCCTGGGCCCGGCCTCACGTTTCTTCCCTGGGCTGACGTTACTGCCCTCTCCCGTGGTGAACTGTGACCCCAAGGGCGTCACTCTCACTAGTTCTGTGAGTTCTCCTCGTGGTCGCTGAGCCCGAGGGCGCTTTGGGGAAGCCCGACGGGCAGGCTAAGGCTGACGTCACTTGTCAGGTGAGGCTGCCCGGATGAGTGGGCATCATGCCCGAGAAGCAGGCTCTGTTCTCCCCACTTCACAGATGGAAAGAGCGAGGCAGAGCTCAGGCCTCTTGCCCGAGGTCACCTAACCGGCAAGTGTGCTGCCGGATCCCAGCCCCAGCGCATGTGCCCCAGGTCCCTGTTCTTACCCCCGCGCCACCGTCCCAGGGTCCCCACCCGTCCTCACGGGTGGGAGGGGCTCACCGGGGGCAGGGACTGCACGATGTCGCTGTGGTAGATGTAGCCGGTGTGGGGCAGCACGGAGGTGGACGAGAAGCCCGACAGCGTCTTGCGCTGGGCCCCCAGCAGCATGATGTTGCAGGCGGGCATCTTGGAGAGGTTGGTCAGGCCGCCGGCCACCCCTGCAGCGGGCAGAGGGGTAGCGGGGGAGGCGGTGAGGAGAGCAGGGGCATCTGTCCATGTGCCTTTACCGAGTCTGGTTGGATGCCATGGCGGCCCCGCCAGGGAGGGCCTCTCATTTCAGAGGGGGATGTGGAGGAAGCTCAGAGAGGTGAGGGTGCACAGCGAGCAAATGGCCCAGGAAGAACCTAACTCAAGTCGGAGCAGCAGCACAGCCACCCTGGGGTGCGCCGACCACAGGCCTGACACCGGGGTCCCCTGAGCTGGTCTGCAGTGAGCTGGCTGGTGCTGGGTGTCTTTAAGGGAAACTGTCATCAACCAAATGAACCCCTAAAGTGAGCCTCAAACACAGGGTGCCAACCCACTGGGGGCAGAACAGCCCCGAGAGGCCATCGCAATCCCCTGCAGGCCATTAAGTCAAAGACCCCGAGTTGGGGTGATTGCCCTGGAGGAGCCGGGCTCAATGCCCCCACAAAGGGCCCTTCGAGGTGGAAGAGGAAGGTGTCAGTCACAGATGTGAGAGCAGAGTGAGCAGGAGGGCGGGGCACGAGCAAGGGACGCGGGTGCCTCCAGAGGCGGGAACAGGCCAGGAGCCGGCCCTCCGGAGCCTCCGTGAAGGAATGTCCACAATCATGAGGTGACGGGGGGAGGGGCTGGGGGGCTGCTTAAGGAGCTCAGTTTGTGGTCATTTGTTGCAGCCGCCACAGGAAACCAGCGCACTCCAGTCACCCCCGGGGGAAACCGAGGCACAGGAAACCAACGCACCCCAGTCATCCCGGGGAAACCGAGGCATGCGAGGTCGCCTGCCCAAGGCAGCGAGGCCAGTGAGAGGGAGCAGGGCCCACACCGAGTTCTGACCTGTGACTCTGCACACATCTGCCCTGAAGGCAGCTGCGAGGGGCCCAGCTCTGGCCCCAAACTTCACCTGTTGGCGTCCTCACCCCACCCCGTGCTCAGCATGAGACGTATCTGGAAGTGGGGTCTTTAAAGAGGTGATCAAGGTGACGTGACATCACAGGATTGGCCCCAATTCAATCTGACTGGTGCCCTTAAAAGGAGGTTGAGACATGACACACACAGAGGGACGGCCCTGTGACCGCACGGGGAGCAGGTGTCTACATCCTCAGGGGGACCAGCCCTGCCCACACCAGGATCTCGGGCTCCAGCCTCCAGGACAGGGCGACAGAAAGTCTCGGTGGCTGAAGCCTTTCTGGTGGCATCCAGGCCCGAGAACACGGCTGCTTTACCCAACGCCTTGCGAGTGTTTCTGGTTAAAGGGGCCAGGAGCCCGGGGGTGGGGATGCCCCTGCAGGGGGGCCCCTGCCAGGACCAGGCCCCATCTCGTGGAGGACACGGGGCCCCCCTCCCGGCCCCGGGCTCACCCATGATCTTGGCGGCCGTGGACGCCCCGATGATGATGGAGAGGTTGGGCGCGATGAAGGACATGCGGGACTCCACGTACTCGTAGATGCGGTGCTTGGAGGCGTTCAGCTCCAGCGCCATGTCGCAGGCCTCCTCCAGCCGCTCCAGCTCCTCCTCCGACAGCTGCTGCCTGCAGGGAAGGGGGGACCACATGGCTGGGTTCCCTGCCTGCTGCTGTGGGGACCCGCCCCCAGCTGTGTGCACATGTGTGTTCGTGTGCATGCATGCAGACGTGTGCTGCCTCAGGGCAATCACCCCTCAGCAGTGACAAGCGGGGGGCTGCTGTTCCCCTGCAGAGAGCTCGGTCCAGCCTGCAGCTGAGCCACCACCTCTGGGAAGCCACCCGACCCAGCCCCTCCTGTGTCTGACATGCGCCCTTTGGCCTTTGACCTGTGCATGCACCCTCTTCCTTCCAGACAGGAGCTGAGAGAGCAGGCCGCCTCCAGCTGCTAGTTCTGTAACCCCATCCGGGGCCCTGCCAACGCTTGTTCATCTGTTCGAGGACCAGGATGACAGCCCGAGGGAGAGCTCCATCCCACAGGACCAGCTGGCTCCTCACTCAGGGGGGACCCCGAGCCCAGCCTGCTGCCTGGCTGGCACCGAAGTGAACTGTCCCCCGAGATCGCGCCTTCTGCCAGCTGGGCCCAGCGCCTCCTCCCCTCCCCGCGGCGTACGCACCCCTGGGTGGTCGAGGCGGTCACGCTGACCACCATGATGGTGGCGTTGGTCAGGATCTGCTGCAGGTTCTCGTTGTTCTTGCACTTGTCCAGGCTGTTGCCCAGCTCCTGGGGGTGAGGAGGCGACGATGGACGGGCGGCACGGAGGCCGGGGAGGCCCCACACCCGCTTGCTCCTGCCCCCGCTTGGTCCCCTCCGGGCGCTGGGGAAGCTGGGTCTGTGCGCAGGTGCCTCTCCCGCCCCCACCGGCTCCAGGAGTGTCAGTGCTCCAAGCACCAGCTCTGCCTGCCCCGTGTGGCTGATGCGGAACGGACCGGAGCAACTGGCCACTCAGAGCGCGAATCTGACCATCGCCTCGCTGCACACACGCCCCTGGCCGCCGCCCTCACCTCGGGGACACGTGGGAGCCTCCGGGTGGGCGTCCCTGCCTTCACCTGCACCTGAGCCTCCGGGCCTTAGAGGTCAAGTGTGACCAGACCTCAACTGTCTCCTCACTTCCTGTTTCTCGTTCCCTGAACCGCAGGGCTCCTTACCCTCTCAGGGTCCTGAAACTTAATGCTCTGCCCCCAAATCTCTGCACAGCTGCCCCTTGTCAGCTCTCCACACGCCCTGCTCCGTCCACCAGAGGGACTGGGAGCCCCCATCTCCCTCCCCGCTCAGGAGGCCCCTCTCCGGAGAGCCAGGGAGCCGAGGGTGGGGCGGAGGAGCTGTGAGAACCTCCTTTCTAGGCTCCACAGCTGGCAGCAGCTGGATCAGTCACCCCTCCAGAGCCCCCAGGCCCCAAGGGCGAGGGAGGCGGCTGGGGCCTCCGCTGTCACTAACTGAGCTTGTCCCCCGGCTCCTGTGCTCAGGTCGCGGGCAGCCTTTCCCCCCAGGGTCCCAGGGCGGGGCCTGCCGCCCCCCCCCACGGAGCCCCGCACCCACCTTGACGGTGCGGATGTAATCCAGCGCGTTGGGGACCAGAGACTCCAGCTCGGGGAAGCGCTTCGAGTACTTGTCCCGGATGAACTTGTGGATGATGTCTGAGGTGGGCGGGGCGGGAGGCATCTGATGAGGGGACAGGCGGACGGCTGGCTGTCCCCCACATCCACTTCCCCTTCTTGCTTTAGGAACCAAACCCCTGAGCTTCGCGGGGCGCAAGAACACCCAGAATAAAGGGCCCACTTCCTGCTCCCTCGCTGCTGGACCGGCTGGAATGAGCTAGTTCTGGTCTAGAGGTGACACGTGCAGCTTCCAGGGCACCCCTGAAGAGGAGAGCTGTGCCCTCTGCTCCGCCCCATCTTGCTGGTGGGGATGTGGAGGTGATGGCTGGAGGTGGGCAGTCCCCTTGGACCACGAAACAGGCAGCAGATCAACAAGATAACAAGAGCCTGGCCTGGCCGGTGTGGCTCAGAGGTTGAGTGTTGACCCATGAACCAAAAGGTCCCTGGTTCGATTCCCGGTCCGGGCACATGCCCAGGTTGTGGGCTCCAGAGAAAATAAATAAATAAAGAGCCTGGGCAGCAGACACTCCGACACCAGGGCCCCAGCCTGGACTTCCACGCGAGGAGAAGTGCACTTGCTTCTTCGTTCAGCCCCTGCCACAGCAGCAGAGGCCGGACTCGGGCAATAGGAGGGGCTGGGGAGAGGCCAGCGGGAGCCTGCCTGTCCCC